AAAAAAAAAAAGGATAAAAAGAGGGAAAGACGATATGTTCCTTACACTGTACGGTCGTGGTTGAAAGAAGAGAATGAGAGACCCCTTCTGCTTTCCTTTCCTCGCTATTGCACCACCCACAATTACCAAACCGAACTCATCCCAATTCCATTATTTATCCTGGTGCCGAAAATGTACTGTTTTCTTTTCTTATTTTCTTTTTTTTTTTTCTTTCTTTTTTGTCTTTTTCTTTCCTTTTTGTCCAGTTTATATAAAAACCCAAACAAATTACTCGAAATCGCCGAAGTGTGCGTGCTCCTCCCTCCGGGATAGATACGGCAGTGAGGAGTCACCTATGGAGGGAGAGGCAGTTTAATCATCGAATCGTAATTAAGAAACCATCATTGGCCCACCACAATAAAATGGGTAAATCGTTTAGGCAACATGGAAAAGTGGACATGATCTCTTAAGATGCAGAGGCAGACGCAGCTTTGGCAGCAGCATCTTCGCGGAGTTGCTGGCCAATTCGCAGCGCCTCAGTGCCGTCGTCTATAATTGATTCTTTGAACCAGGGATGTTTGAGGGCTTGTTTGGCTGTGATACGCGCCTTGGGATCGTAGACAAAGATGCGCCGCAGGAGGTCGAGGAATTGCTTGTTGAACGTTGTAGTGGTGGGGATGAAGTCCTGGATTTTACGTCAGGAAATGTCGTTATTTAAAAATCAAAGGCAAAAAAGTGTTAAAAGGGGAAGGGGTTGCGAAGAGTTCGTACATGAAGTGGTTTCATGGCCCGTACGTATTTCTTTGAGGCTTTGGATGTTTCAGTATTTGGATAGTCTAGTTTACTTCGGTTGAAATATCTAGTTTGACACGGTTAGTATCAAAGTGAGGTTTCCGTGAAGGGCGCATCAAAAGCATTGTACATACTTGGCTGCTTGGTTGGCACTGCCACCTCGACATTGCATAACCTGTTTGACAATCTTCGCGTCGATCTTCCCGCCACAGACACTTTCCATCATTGCGAGATGTTCGAGATTGTCGTGTGTTTGAAAAAGGGCATCACCAGTGAAAAATTCAACGAGAATGCAGCCAATGCTCCAGATATCGCATGGGAAACTCCAGCCCAGATTCAGAATGATTTCGGGAGCACGGTAGTGGCGCGTTGAGACGACTGAAGAGTGATACTCGTCATTGAAAGTGGCGGATCCGAAATCGATTAGTCGAATCTCACTGTTCAGAAGCACGCGTCGTTGGCGGGCGTTTCGGGATGAGGTATGTGATGATGAAGGGATGGAGCGGTTGTATGTAAAGGTTTGATAGGCATTGTTGACAAGGAGAATGTTTTCAGGTTTCAGATCTGTATGGATGAGGTTCAGATCATGAAGGACTAGAGAATGTTAGCATACACCCAGCACATCACGACCTTATAAAGGGATTGATAAATGAGAAAACTTACATGCAACGCTAGTTAGCAGCTGTCGAGCAAAGCTCTGGATCTGGCTACTGGGGAAGGGCACAAATCCGTTACCCTTAAGGAAATCGAACACGCTCTGGCCCAGCAGATCGGTTACGATGCAGATGTGATTTCGGAAGTCGAAGCAGTCCCGAAGATGTATGCACTTGTTACGATTTGTTTTATCGTTGGAGGCTAGGGTGGAGAGCACCCGCAGCTCGATACGGGAGGCATCTCTGTATTTCTGCACGGAGCGGATTATTTTAACGGCACAGCGGGTTTTCTTGTGCTTATCGTAGGCCTCGACGACTTTGCCAAAGGTTCCTTGGCCAAGTAGTTTGACGATAGAATCTAAATCAATTAGCAATTGTTGTACAATTCGGAAAGAGAATCTGAACACAACTTACATCTATCAGTGAGGTCGGTATCGGGAGTCACTATGTAGTGTCCGTCATCATCGTCAATTTTCTGATTTTTGTGAAGATTGTACTATCGAGAGGTCAGCAATGACAAAACAAATACCTTTATACACAGCGGGGAGGTTAACGTACATCTCTGATCACCGGCACGGTGACGTCTTTTGCCTTGATAGGGGGTTTTGGAGGGGGAATGTAACTATTGTATGCATCACCAGCAACTTCCAACTCCCTTCGTTTCTGTTCATCACGAGCAGATTTGCGGGTCACAACCCGTTTCCGTTTCTGGCCAATGGTGGTGGAGTCTTCGTAGTACATATTATTTAGCGGGGCACTGCCATGGGAACCCATAGAGGTAGGGGCAGTGGTTTGTAGCGAGGTAGTTCGATCTGTGGAGATGGAGGTGCCAGACGACTCCTCGCCATATTGCTGCGGGTGGATGGAGAACGTGGGCCGATCGTGGTAGGACATATCGACTGCAGTTTCCAGACCGTCCGTCTCCTTTTGCTTGCAGGGGCATGGGAGACGGGCATTTTGTGAAGCGTGGAATTGAGATGGTTATTATTATTATTGTTGTTGTTGTTGCTACTGTTGTTATTGAAGGTGGCATTGGTGGCGGTAATGCTGTCATCGTCATCGTCGATGACAATGATTTCTTTGGGAACGCCATTTTTATAGAATTCGGCCCAGTTTGGCTTTTTCCTCCGGCTCCGAGAAGTAGGTAATGTAGCAGGGGAAGAGGGTTGCTGGTGATGCTGTTGGTGGTTGTGCTGCTGCTGCTGCTGGTAGGATGGCATTGTGACCTGATGATGGTTGTTTAGTTTGGACGAACTGGGAAGTGGGAGAGAAGTTGCGGCGGTCGTAGCAGGAGTTGTAGCAGAGTATCCATAAGAATTGGCTAGTCGAGAGGAGCCCGTAGCGACGGCAGCAACAGCAGCAGATGCAGATGGATAAGAGGTATTTTGCTGGTAAGTGTGATGCGAATAACCATAGTGTGGGTGACGGGATGGGTGAGTAGCCGTGGCAGTTGAAGGGGTCGACATGACGCAGGTAAGACGGGGCGGATTTTTCCCTTTAATAGGTTGGAAGGGAAAGGGGGAAGATTTTGAGCAATGATTCAAGGACTTCAAACACCCGATTGGGTTCTTTCTCGTTATGTTCGTTGTTCTCTTTTATTTTTATTTTTATTTTTTTTAATTATTATTATTATTATTATTATTTTTTTTTTTGTTCTCTTTCGTTGTTGGTGGAAGTGGTTGTAAGGGTCGATTAGTGGGGAAGTTTGGTGGCCACCAAGCGAAGGGCGGAAGGCGATGAAGAGGAGGCGAGACAAGTCAAAAGAGTGCCATGGACGCTAGGGTGAGAGAGCACCCAGACCGGTCGGAGTTAGAGTTAAGTGACGGGGGAGAGAGGGAAATGGTTGCCAGAGGAGAGAGGGATGGTTGATGCGGGAGAGAGAGAACGGGGGAGGCGAGGAAGGATTTGGCGGAATGCAGAGTAGTAAAGTTGCGAAGTTGATGAAGTAACGGGTGAAGGTGGAGTAGCGTCGTGTAGTGTAAATAAGTACCAGTTGTACGTACAGTTGTAGGTGCGCAGTCGATATTTAGTTGTCGCAGCGGGTGGTGCCAAACATTGGTACCCGCGTGGGTCGTATCAGTCTGCAGAGAGGAAGAGATAAGAAGCAGCCTGGCAGTCCCAGCGTGGTGTGGTGGGTATACGCCTGGGAATGGCACAGGCATAACCCAACGAGGATTGTTCGATGTGGTGGGAGAGTGTCGATGAATGGCGAGGATCGTTGTCTTCTTCTTCCCGAGGTTTGAGTGTTGGACGTGGAGGCTGGATGATGAAGTCCTGGAGGAGAGACGTTGTTCCGTCCGGGCCGTGGAAATTCAACCCAGCAAGTCCTTTACCACGTTATATCTAATTGACAATAAATTTACATCGGTTATATATATATATACGAATTCCATTTCTATTCTAACTCTTTTGCCAGTTACTGATGAGGCGGTTGAAAACCGAACTACTCCCTTCTCATCACTCCGATCAAGGAGACTATATAAGTATTTCAGCTACGTGGGATAACTAGATAATATTTAACTACCATGTGTTCCTGGTGATTGGTTGATGGGCAGCGGATGTTGCGATAAATAATGCCAATTATGAATTTATATATATATATATTCTATTCATTTTATCAATAAAATTAAATTATATGAAAAAAAAAATACTACATCTGTTCAAAATAAAAGATAAGTACTAATTTCATATAAATTTATAGTAAATATATAACATTTGAATAAATTATTTCATTTAAATTATATAAAAGATTATCAAATTAAGTCTTGATGAATATTCTAACTTTTGATATATTTACCTATTTAATTGTTATGATTTATTTATAATTCTCAAACTATAAAAGATTTAATTAATGCTAAGTATAGCTAAGAATAAAGACAAGTTAGAACTAAGTGAACATTTATAAAACATCTAATAGAATTGAGATTTAACTAATTCTTTAACATGTCTAATAGAACTCAGTTAAAGATTTAGAAACAAGTTCTACTGAATCTTTTAAATGAATTTAATTAAGCTCTAGTAGAAAAAAGATATTTTAGCAAGATTTATAAAGTTTTTTTAAAATATTAATTTTTTTCTGATTATTTTTTAAAAAATTAAAAAAATTTTATCTAAATTTATTTCATTTTTAATTCATAAAATAGTTATTTATTTTACATCTATTTTTAAAAGTTTAAACTATATATTAATTATATAAATTTTTTTTATTATAATTAGATAAAATTAATTAATTTTTATTAATTTCTTTTTAAAATTATAATTATATAATTAAGAATTAATGAAAAAAGTAGAAAAACTATATAAACTATTTTTAAATAATTTAAATAAAACTTTAAAAAATATTAAATATATTTAAAATATTTTAATTTTATTATTAATTATTTATTTTC